GCAATCTCATATTTGTAAAAAAAATCTGTACATAGAAGAGATTCTGGAAGCTGTTAATAATCGGCTCTTCTGGTTAGGTGGACTATGTATATTTTTAACACTTTTTGCTTGTCATTTTCTAAGTTTCCAATAATCAACATGCATTGCTGTCATAATTTTAAAAGTCAAACCATCTTTTTTAATTGAAAGAGGAAAAGTAGGGCTATCACAGCTTTCATTTTGGCTAAATACCGTTGAATCACCCTTTTCATTTGTTTTGTTGACCATGTCACTCATCCCTCCATTCTATAACATACATTAGATTTTGCTTGGCTCACATGTTGTAATCTGGCTGAGGTAGGAGGGGGAATTCTCCTGGTTCAATTGCTACAGCAATATAGAGTTAAAAAAAAAAAACGAAAAAACCCTCAGATACCATTTAGTATAGCCCTTTTCATTTTACAAATAAGGAACCTGAGAGAGGTCCAAGGGAGTGATTTACTTAAGGTCATAAAATGAGTCGAACAACTGCAATTCAGTCTCCAGAATCCCAATCCACTTATTCCCAAAAAATTAGCTTAATACCCCATCAATGATCCTGGGTGCCAAACTGGCCTTGGGAAGGGGGTATAGAAATTCTGCTAACAGGAAAACCCAAGGGAAACCATAGGTTAGTTAAGCAAAAGCCCGGTTACTCCTATAATACCAAAAGGAACTCCCAAGTGTCATACAAGCAGGAAAAACATATCAGAAGAACATAAAGAGCTCTCCATGTTATCTAATATTTATTAAACGTTTTTGGAAGATACCGATTTTGAAACAGAGAGCAGATTCTGTGATTAAGTCACTTAAACCCTAAGTTAAGGACTACTACTGTATATGATGATTAACTGTAACATATGCCCTTAAGTAACAAAGTAGTTGATAAATTTATGGTAGCTTCTAACAAGGTAACAATTGTATGGCTTTTTATAAATTTATTTTCTTTCATGCGTAAAAAAAGACTCCGGATACCTGAAAATGAGGTCCACAAACCTTGGGGGTAGATGTATGAGGAGGGGTCCCTGAGAACCTTTCAAAGAGTCTATGAGGTTAAATGTCTTTCATAACGATAGTAAGACATTATTTATCTTTGTCACTTTGTGGACATTTGTTAAAAAGCAATGGTGGATAAATTGCTGGCACCTTAAAACAAATCAAGGCAGTGTCACCAAACTGTACTAGTAGTTGTAATCTTCATTGCCTGCACTTATGATAAAAATAATGTCAATTTCACTTTAGAATGTCCTTGATGAAACCATAAAAATTATGATTTTATTAAATCTTGGCCATTGTGTGTGTGTGTGCATTAATATATGTGGCCAAGTCTTCATAGAGCACTCTGCTACATACCTGAGTGTGATGGTTGTCCAGAGGATTTGGTTGCCCAAAAGCATTTGGGCAACTGATTGAATTGTGAGCTGAAATAGATGCTTTTTCCATGGAACACCATTTTTAATGGAAAAAACTACTGAAAGACAAATCAGGGTTATTCAGATGTAAGTATTTGGCAGAAACTCTGTCAAAAATGTAACAAAATGAGCCTGTCACTTCAAGGAAAACAACTGACAGTATGTGTTGCCAATAATAAAATTCTAGCTTTCAAGTGAAAATTAGAATTTTGGAAAATCATATCTGCCACTGTGAGCTTGACAGCTTCCTAATACATGAAGACTTCTGGTAAGATGGATGAGGATATTAAGGAATGTGACTGTTTGATAATGTATGATGAAACATGTCAACATTAAGAAGACTTTATAACACAGTGAACCACTAATTTCCAAATGACCCATACTTGATGTTACAAAATCGTGCACAGATAGAAGATCCATTCAAAGTGTAAGATACACTAATGGATTTTAATGTAACAGAGTAAGAAAAGTACATTGATATAGTTTGAGATTCTACTTTGAAACTAACCTTTAAAAAACTATCATTTGTCAAACTTTGGTGTGATATCAAAGAATATCCATGCTTATCTTTTAAAAGCTATTAAAATATTTCTCTCTTTCCAACTACACATGAGCGTGACGTAGAATTTTCTTAATTTTCCTAAACCCAAATAAAACAGTGCAACAAGAGCCAGGCATGGTGGTTCATGCCTGTAATCCCAGAACTTTGGGAGGCTGAGGAGGGAGGACTGCTTGAGGCCAAGGGCTCATAATCAGCCTGGGCAACACAGCAAGACCCTGTCTCTACAAAAAATTTTTAAAAAATTAGCCAGCCACAGTGGTGTATGCCTGTATTCCTAGCTATGCAGGAGGCTGAGGCAGGAGGATGGCTTGCGCCCAGGAGTTTGAGGTTACAGTGAGCTATGATCAGGCCACTGCACGATAGCCTCAGTGACAGAGAGAGACTTGCCTCTTAAAACAAACAAACAAACAAACAAACAAACAACTGTGGAACATATTAAATGCAGGAGAATCCAGCTATCTTCTATTAAGTCACATTAGTTTTGCAAAAATGCAAAACAATGTCATTCCTAGAATAATTATCAAAATCAGAAAATAAGTGTTAGTGAAGATGTGGAGAAACTGGAATCGTGCATTGCCAATGGGAATATAAAAATGGGCAGAATCCCTGTGGAAAATATTACGATGGTTCTTCGAAAATTAAAACATAGTATTACCAAATGATTCATCAATTTCCACTTCCAGGTATATATGGTATCCCAAATAATTAAAAGCAGGGACTCAAACAGATATATGCACACTAATGATCACAGTAGTATTACTCACAATAGCCAGGAGGTGGAAGCAACCCAACTGTCCACTGACAAATGAATGAACAAAATGTGGTATATACATACAATGGAATATTATTTAGTCTTAAAAAGGAGGAAATTCTGACACATGCTCCAACAGGGATAAATCTTAAAAACACCTGCTAGGTGAAATAAATCAGATTCAAAAGGACAAATACATGATTTCACTTATGTAAGGTACCTGGAATAGTCAAATTCATAGGGACATAAAGATGTAACAGTTAACAGGGCTTGAGGGAGAAGTTAATGGGGAGTTATTGTGTAATAGATACAAAGTTTCAGTTTGTGATGATAAAAAAGTTCTGGAGACAGATAGTGGTGATGGTTGCACAACAATGTGAATGCACTTAGTGCTACTGAATTGTGCACTTAAAAATGATTAAAATGGTAAATTTTGTTATATTTTACCACAATAAAAAGCAAAAAAGAAGTTTAAAAGAAGAACAAAAACAATGCCATTCTTCCCACTGTTTTGGGGGTGGAAAATAGTTATTTTTCATTAAAAATGTTATTTATGCATGTGGTGCATTTATCACTGTTTTGTAAATTATACTTTAAAAATATCCCAGCTTTAATCTCTAATATGGTAAATATGGACAGATATAACCCATATAAACAGAGCTCTCAGGTCCTCAGTAATTTTTGAAAGGCAAAGGTGTCCTCAGATTAAAAAGTTTGAGAACTGCTGTCTTATATGAAGATTTATTGTCCTTCTCACCCCGGCATTGTGTGAAGATCTTCGTTTGTTGGTATAGCTTCATTTGACAGCTATATCACTTGCAGCGTGGAGACGAGCAAAAAAAGACAGCCTGGGATATGGTCACAATCACCACATTAACTCTTTAGAATTACTATTGTCCCCTGGATGCACCTTAACCGTAAGGACTGAGCAACACAAAGCTCTAACCACACAGATGATTGGCAACGTACAAACTGTTAAAATGCTTAAATGTTGATATGTTCCAAAGTAGTTTGTAGATATCTAACAAGAAAAACACATTGCTTTTTTTCTGTTGAATGTTAATTTGGATTTACAGTTCTAGGCAGATTTGGGAATGGGGGTGGTGGCGGCATTGTTTCCGAAAACCAGTGCATCGGTGCAAAGAATTTAATTCTCTCACCATCCTGCTGGTGGTCTGTTGCAGAGGGGTGTGGTTAGAGAGCTAGGAAGCAATCCAGAATAGCAGCTGAGGCTGCCCAAAGCCGTGTCCAAGCAATAATTTCTCCATTTTGGGCCAAGTCAATTTGCCCTAGCAAAAGGCAGAATGTTTTTTTAATGGGAAGGAGGAAAAGAAAAATTTAGAAAGCACGGACGGAACTAAGCAACAAAACCAAAGAGGTTTCATCTTGAGTGGATGTTAAAAGATTGGAATGCTAATGAAGTGTGCGAGAGGCAAAGGAGAATTGTATTCGTCAGTCTACAGCTGCAGCACTTTTAATGCCAGCTCTGCAGTTTCGGAAGGGGGCAAGCGTGAAATGGTTTTCTTACCGGGACTATCTTTCCGCATTCATTTTGGCCCGGGTCTGTGCCCAGTCTGGCTGACTGCGGCTGAGGCAGTCCCAAACAAAGGGGAATGCATACCCTCCTGAGGGAGCGGAGGAGAGAAGGTGGCCCCAGGTGGCCGCGCCAGGTGTCCCTCAAGGGTTGACCACGCAGGCCGCGGGAAGAAAGGATCCCAGGAGCGTCTTGGGGTGCGGTAGGGAAAGGCTAGTTCGGGGCGTAAGCACTGAGGGGCAGTAGACCCAGCCCTGCCCACGGTCAAGGTTAAACCGCGCACGGGAGATACCTGTGGAGGCCTCGCACAGCCGAAAGGCACCGGGAGATCATGGGAGCGCCGAGGGGCCGGCGGCGGCGGGCGCGTAGTCCTTCGGCTTGGAGGTGGACGAGGCGGGCGGCGGAGTCTCGGCGCCGGCGGCGCGAGTCGGCCTAGCTGAGGAGACCACGGCGGCGGCGGCGGCCCGGCCAGCGCCCTCCCACGTGCGGCAGCCCCACGCCCGCGCCCGCGCCGGCCCCGCCCCGCTCTGCGCCCCGCCCCGCGCGTCCCGCGCCGCCCCAGGGGCGGTTCTGACGAGACCCAGCCGGCTGAGAGGAGCGCGCAGCCTGGTGGGCTGAGAGGGAGGCGGCGTGGGAGCCGGGGAAGTTTGGGCGGCCGCTGCCAGTGCTGCGATCCCGAGCCAGCTCAAGCCCTGAGGAGCAAGGGGCGAGCGGACTGGCTTCCGACGCCCGCGCGCCCTCGGCCGTCGTCTCGCGTTCTCTTGCCTGGTAAGGGGCTTCCATCTGGGAAGGGTGCGTCCCCCGCCGCCACAGACGTAGGCCTGCACCGCGTCCCTGCTGCAAGGCGGGTCAGGGCCCCGGCGACGCCCGGGTACCGGAGGGAAGAAGGCAGGGAGGGGGGGGGTCGATGTGCTCTGGGGAGTGGAAAAAGGAGAAGGTTGGACATCTCCTTTCTCTTCCGACCCCTTCTCCTCCGCTCCCGCATTCTGTTTTCACCTTCTGCCCTGGAGGCTTATTTAGTGCTTGTAACCCCATGGCCTAGGGGCTTAGATCGCCTTTAAAATAAGTACATAAATAATAAACATTCTAGTGGCGGGTACCACACCCTGGCTTTGAATTAGGTAACCTGGGGGACAGATGGATGATGCGATTTAGTGGAAATAAGCCATTAATGCCGGCTGGCCCTGCGCCACTATTTGGATGCGATAGTATTCCGTGTGAATGAACATGACCGGGAGCTTCCAGCTTGCCCACGAGAGCACGGCTTCTGCAGAGAGCGCTGGCCGGCTGGTAGTATCCATCGACTTAGGCAATGATTTCCTGACATGTCTGTTGATTAAATGGAATGCCATTTTTATTAAGAACGACACAACAGTTAAACAACCTTTCTTGAATATGTTTCCTCATCAAATAACTCTCAGCCTACAGAAGTAGGTGGAGTGTAAATTACTTAATACATTTTTTTAATCTCATGAAATAGAGGAAGATGTTTGGTGTCGATCACCTAGTCAGCAGTATGAAATCTCTCTCAACTTAGTGCTGAGGCCTTCGGGAGATTCTATATCTGTACCCCTATTCTTTTCTGTCTCTGTACCTTGTAGACTGTTAAGATACAGTAACATATTCAGTGAGAGTCTAAGCTTATGATATACATGTTTTGAAAAAATTATGTAAGCAAGATTTAACATAGTATAATACTACTGGGTATAAATGAAAATATGTAATAAATTACCATGACAATATTTTGGTGCTCCCTTGACTCTTTAAAAAGAGAAAATATGGAAGGTAATATAGTTTTTTCATTTTTTACTTTAAAAAAATGTTTTACACCCCTGTCTGCCCTCATTTTTTTACTTATAATGTAATTGATACCCCTCGTTGTTTATTACCTTTGTAATTTATAACTTTCTTGACTGATTGTTTAAAATAATTTAGCTCAGTGTTTTCATATTTCTTATCAAGGAAAAGTGTTCAAGCTTCTAAAATGTCATCTATCAAGCACTTAGTTTATGCAGTTATTCATTTTTTACGGGAACAAAGTCAGATGGATGCTTATACTTCGGATGAGCAAGAAAGTTTGGAAGGTAGGCACCTTCCCTTTGCATTTATTTGTGTTATAAATAAAGAATAAAATAGCTATAAGCCTAACTTTATGATTTATTATAACAAAATCAGAATATTTTGTTGGTCTTTCAAGAAGAGAGGCCTAACTGTAAGTTATCTTATTTCCATTTTCTGATGCTTGTTTTGTTTGTTAACAACAATAAGCGGACTATTGTTCATTTATTCAACAGCTACTATGTGTCAGAACTATGCTTTGTATATTATAGGGAATTTTTTCCTCACGGTGACTGTTATGTTATTATTATCCTCATTTAACAAATGAGAAAATGAAACCAGATAGGTTAAGTAACAGAACACAGCTAATACATGACAAAGCTGAGATTTAAATCTTGTTTCTTACGCTGAAGATCTTGTCTCCTTTTCCTAACAGGAAAGCATACAGTTTAGAAATAATACATGAAAATACCTTAGTCATTGTAATAGCACTATGTAAAAGTCTAATAATTATACCATTAGCTCTGACAAGTGCCTATTTTGGGACTTTAAAGGATTTCACTCTTGTTTTAGGTGAACTTTCAATATTAGATTCGATAATCTATAAAATTGAATAGGACTATATAATAGCATCATGTGTTTCTTTGACATCATCTTTTTGCTTCATGTTTATGCATTGTGAAATTTAAATTCAGTACAACCAAAAGAAGATTGAATTCTGCAGATGGGCTTGTGGAGGTTCAGTGAGCCTAGCTTCTTTGTGGCCTAAAGACTTAATTATTGCGATGAGAGCGCATTTGGGAGAACTTAATAAACACCAGTACAGTTCGAATCCCTCATCTTGAAGCTGCTTCTGTAACGGGGACACATCTATTAATTTCAACAAGCACTTCCCTGTGAATATGTTTTTAGGAGGTGAGGATAAAAATTGGGCATTTGCTCTAAATCTGCTTGCAGTCTGGTTAGATGATGCCTTTCCAGGTGGCAGCAAGAGGAGCAGGTGACACACAGTTGGAGAACATTGCAGTCAGTCCATTGAATATTAAGGTCTTGTTATTCTCCTTGATAGCTGTGTGAAGATAAAGTTGTTTGATATCTAAGGAAAACGTTAGTTACGATTGCTTTATAGCAAACAGATAAATGCAGTCATTTAAGAAAAGATGTTTCTTTTCTAATCAAAGTCAGTCTAATACTTTTAAGGACTAGAAAGAAAATGGAGAGTTTTTTAAAAACCAAGATGTTACATCCTATTTTTAGGATGGTGTTCAGCCAAAAATATGTGCCTTCAGCTGTTTGTTATATATGGCAGTCAGAAATGGTGCCAATTGTTTTTGACTGACCCCTATTTTTAACTCTGTGACTCTAATTTAATTGAACATGATATCATGTGGAGGTGTCTGCCCACCTTCTAGACATTTAAAAAAGCCCTAGAGAAGGAGTCTCAGTTCTAGTACCAGCTTTTCCACTATTGTGAAGCTGGTGTATCTTCAGCTTTGAGTCTTGTCATCACATTATATTACCCACTCCTCTTGCTTGTTGTCACCTACTGACATTTGCTTTATTTTTTTGACTTATGGTTCTTCCTGACTGTCACTCTCTCTAGCACTACTCCTGTCTGAATTCTTGGCAATTGCAGTATACTCATAGATGATTCTTCCAATTCCCTTGACTCTCCCTCAGTTCTTGATCTTCTCTCCTCCAGTGATCTCAAACACTTGGTCATATCCTTAGATCAGTGGTTCTGAACTTGGGGGTGATTTTACAATGTCTGGAGACATTTTTGTTTGTTACAACTAGGGGTCTGGTATCACTGGCATCTAGTGAATGGGTAGAGGCCATGGATGCTGCTAAACATACTGCAATGCACAGGACAGTCCCTGAAAACAAGGAATGATCGGATCCAAAATGTTAGTATGGTGAGATTGAGAAACCCTTCCCTAGACATTATTATCAAAACTGCATTCCTCCCATAATCTCTATCTTAAACATTTTACTTCCTGACCACTACTGACTATATTTCCAAGTTTACTCCCTGTAGAATTCCTACCCCAACAGTTCTTCAACCCCACCATATCTCCAATCTGTTGATCCCTCATATTTCTCCACGTGTCTTCTTACCCATCTTAAATTCCATGGTTGATAATTATACTTATTCCCTTGTATCTCCCTCATTCCCTTTCTTGTAAAACCCTACCTCATTTAAATCTAACTCTCCACCTACTCTGTGCCCACATCCATGTGGGCATATATAGATGGAGCAAAACACACAACTTTTCTAACTAGTCCCACTTTAAATTCATGACTGTGAACCTCAAGCAGACCTTTAATGCTGGCAGGCAATTACATTATCTGTTCCAAGTTCATTCATACTTTTGTGCTCCCAGATGACCATTTTAATACTTTCTCATGTCTTCTCAAATTCCCCAAACCTTTTCCCCTGTCTTCACTTTTAGCTGATGACCTTGCTTCCTACTCTACCAGGAAAATTGAAATAATAAGAAAATAGCCAGGCACAGTGGTGTGTGCCTGTAGTTCCAGCTACTCACGAGACTGAGATAGGAAGATCACTTGAACCCAGGAGTTCAAGGCTGCACTGCACCATGATCAATCCTATGAATAGCCACTATACTCCAGCCTGGGCAACATAGTGAGACCTCATTTCTGATAATAATAAAAAAAAAAGTAGGTAAACAACTTCCACAGACTTCCACTGCCCAACTACCCACCCATTACCTACATACTCTGCTTCCATGTCTATTACCATAGATGGACTATCCACATTCCTTTCTAAGTGGAACCCCTCTACTGGTACACTAGATCCCATCCTGTCTCACCTACTCTAGGACATCACTCTAGTTATTCTAGTCTCTTCATCTTATATCATCAAATTTTAACTCCACTGGATCATTTCCAACAGAACATAAACTATTATTTCTCCCTTCTTAATAGAGCAAAAACAAACAACAAATAATTATTCTTGTCTTACTAACCCCCCATTGCTGCCTAATTTTATGTATCCCATGCAGCAAAACTATTTGAAAGTGTTGTCTACACTTGCTTTCTCTAATTTCTCTCCTCTACTCTTTCTTAAATCCACTCCAGTTAGGCCATTGCCTCTGTCTCCCAATCCATCCATTCTTATTAAGATCATCAGTGATTTCTGTGTTGTTTAGTTCAATGGTCAGTTGTTAGTCTTTATCTGACCTATTAGCTGCCATTGATATAGTTGATGATCACTCCCACTCTCCCTCTTCCTCAGTACTTTATTCACTTAGCTTGCAGGACACCTCATACCTTCTTGGTTGTCTTCTTATCTCATTGTTTGCTCCTTCTTTGTCTCCTTTGCTGGTTCCTCTTCTATTCCCTGACCTGGCCTTGAGTGCCAACAGTCCACTGTCGGTCCTCTTCTTTTCATTATCTATGTTCATTTCTTTGGTGTTATCTGTCACTTCCTTGGCCTTAAATATCCTTTATTTATATGTTGATATTTCCTAAATTTATACCCTCAGCGAGACCTTTCTCCTGAACTCCATACTTGTATATCCAACTGCCTACTAGATATCTCCACTTGCATGCCTAATAGACATCTCAAATTTAACATTGTCCAAACTGACCTTGGATTCTCCCACCCCAAATCTGTTCTATCTACAGCTTCCCCAATTCAGTTGATGGCAACTCCATCCTATCCATTGTTCAGGCCAGAAACTTGGGTGTTATTCTGAATTCCTCCCTTTCTCTCATACTGTATCTAATCATTCAATAAATCCTGTTGGCTACACCTTCAAATTATGTCTAGAGTTTGACCACCTCTTACCGTGGTTAAAATTGATATATATATAATCCCTGGTTACAACTAAGTATTTCTCACTTGTTTTGCTGTGATAGTCCCTCACTGGTCTCTCTGCTTCTATTCTTGCCCCTCCATGGACTGTTTCTGAACACAGCCACCAGTGATCTTTTAAAACAGAGCATGTCAGATTCTGTCACTTCTCTACTTAAAATCTTGCAATGACTCCTTGTGATACTTAGTCATTGCTTAAAGGATCTATGTAAGTTGAACTTCCATTGAGTTCAAGAACATATTGGTCACCTACTCTTCCCCTTTCTTCTTTGGCTTCAGCCAAATTAGCTTCCTCACTGTGAATCCACCTAATCTCCTTGCCTAAGAGCTTTTGCTCTAGCTGGTTCCTCCAGGTAAAGGTAACAGCCCCATCTCCTTCAAGTCTTTGTCAAATCTTTTTTTCAGGAAGGCTTCCCCTTCTCTGTTAATCTGCAGCTGCTTCCCTGCTCTGCTCTCCACAGTCTCCATCTTCCTTACCTTTAATAACTTGTTCATTGTTTTTGGTCCACACCTCCATCCCTCACTAGGATGTAAGCCCCAAGAGGTTTAGGGATCTCTTCTGGTTTATTCACTGATATATCAAAAGTGTCTAGAAAAGTGCCTGACATGTTGTAGGTACTCAATTAATATTTGTTGAATTGAATCTAGTGATCCTGGGCATATCACTTGGTTGGTCTGTACCTTAGTTCCTAAGTCTATTAGATGGAGATATCTGTCTCTTCCCATCTAATAGATTTGTGAAGAGAATCACAATCAGTGAATGGCTGGCACATAGCATGTGAAAACTTTTGAATTCAGTGTTATCCAGATGGGTTATGGTATTATTGAATTGAATACTTTACTCATCTTTCTCGTCATCAGTACCAAACTGAACTATTTTTGTTTGGTGTTAAAGTGGAACAGTTAGTATTTCTTTAGATTTTTATGACTTATTCCTGAGTGTAACCTTCTGAAAGGAAGATCAAATATAATAATCTCTGTTTCATAAATGAGAATCTTGAAGTAAAAGTAATTTAAATTATTACACTCAGGTTAATTTGCGGAGGCAGGGTGGGTGGGCTGGATTACTAATGATAATGAGATAGTCCTGAGTTTCAAGGCTGTGGTAGCTTTGTTCACTAAATCATATGTCTTTCTAAATATCTATTAGTGTTGAGAACTAAACATTTTGGTAACTAGGTTTACTTATCAAAACAGAATTGTGTTTTCAAAAAAAAAGCCAGTCCCTCTAGTGATACTTAATTGTGTCTAGTATGTGCCAGATCTGTGTTCTAAGGTTTGTGGCAGCAGAAATGAAGAAGCTGGACTCAACTGCCTAAACAAGATAGGGCATACAAATTTCTGAGTCATCACATGGACTTTTCACCTGTCAGTGTTTAGCACTGAAGTTCCATACTCTGATTTTTGATTAAGAGCTTAGTTTGGTACTATCCATCTTTCATGAGGCTATGAATTAATATGTCTGTGTGTGTGGCAGGGGGTGGAATGCTCTCTTCCACAGATTTAATTGTTTTTATTTCCTCTGAAATTAAAATATGACTTCCATATTAAAATTGGAATGGAATTTAATTCCATTAAAATATGACTTCTGCAAACACAGAAGCTAGCAGATTAAATTTATTGAACATCTACTATTTGCCAGACTCTGTTAAAGTCAAAGATGAATTAGATGTTGGCCCTGTCCTCAAGGAGACAGTCTAATATTGGAGACAAACGTTTAAGTGCATGTAATACAGTGTGATAAGTAAAATAATAGAAACTTGTGCAAGCTACATGGCACAGTAAAGGAAATGACCAGTCTGATACATACATGTATTCTTAATGAATAAGCTTCCTTCCTGATCAGACTGGTCATTTCCTTTACTGGTCATTTCCACACACACACACACACACACACACACACACATACACACATTTTTATTATTATTATTATTATTATTATTAAAATAACTGTCCCTTCATGGCATTGAGAATCTTTGTGTGTGTGTGTGTGGGGGGGCACCCAATGTTTTAAGTGCAAACACAACTGCTTGGCAAGAATAGAAAGGAAGAGAATGAGCAATGGGTAAATAGTAGATTATTTTGTATCTAAAAGATATTTTGACTTTTTATAATTGGTAACTTAGTTGCTTATTCAATCCCTTTTCTAAGGAGAATTCTGTGGATAGTGAAAGTAATAGAGTTTCTTTTTCTTTTCTTTCTTTTTTTTTCTTTTTTGGTCAGTAGCTTTAAAAAAATAGTGTTTTTGTTTGATTGGTTTTTTTAATGACAGAGGTAATTTTTTCAGGGGCAAAATTAATACATAATGTATCTTTAAAAGGTCACATACAAATGTAAGGGAATCTATTCTACACTGTCTGGAAATACACTGGGCATTTTGGTTACATCTTATCTCCTGGGGCCAGAAGAGAATTTCTTTTCAAACTAGAGTGCTATCGGGATAAGAATCTACTTCCATTCCCCTCAAAGGGTACCTGTAGAGAGGACAGGATATGCAATCTTCACTATTACTGCTCTAGTTGGGGCCCCTCATTTATGTATATCATTTACATAGGGATCTATTAATAGCTGGTTTCTGCTTCCACTTTCTCACCCAGCTTCCCTCTTTAATCCATTCTCAATGTTCCTACCAGCCTTTTAGTTCTGAACATAAATCTAGTTATGTTATTCTCTGTCACTAACTTCTTTGAAGGCTCTCCATTTGCCTGTTCCTTGAAGTCCAGATCTTTTGAAAATGTCATTTGAAGTGCCTTGTCATCTGATGACAGACTTCCTTTTTAACATAATCCCCCACCATGTCTGTCTGCCTAGTCTGTACCCTAGTCTGTACCAGCCAGCTGTCTTGTCATACACCAAAAATAGATGTGAGGTCCCTATCACCATTTAACATGCTATATATTTTACTTATTGTGTTTATTAAATGTAAGCTTCATCATGCAGACAGTGATTTTTTTCTGTTAGGTTTACTGCTGTTTCTCTACCATCCTAGAACAGTGCCTTACACGTAGGAGGCACTTGGTAAATTCTCATTCATGAATGAATTTTTAAAAACTAACCTATCTTCACATAAATATATCAGGATTAATATCTAGTGCTTCCTATGTGCCAGGGATTATTGCTCTTACTATTTTTGCTTTTTTTTTTCCCTAGCTTTTTTCTTATATATTTATTTTATTAAATCTTGCTTATTTGCTGTGATCTTCTGAATCTTACTATTTTTAATCAGGTTGAGTATTCTATTTCTTACATTTAAAAAAAGGTAATATTTTAGGTTTGTAGTGGAGAATAGGTTGTTATTAATGATTTTGGTAGTCTTTTTGGTAGTCTTCAACAAGAGTATAATGGAATACATATATTGCGAAATCATATTCTAGATAACATTTTTCCTTAAGTAAGAAATAAGAAATCAAAAAAAAAAAAAAAGAAATAAGAAATCAAGTTGTCCTCCTTCAATAGCTGGTCTATAAACAGAAATCTATTTGCAGCTGAACCAATTAGTTTTCCTTATGTTCTGTGATCATAAATACTGAATTTCCACAGATTGCAGTCCTGTCAGGGAAGAAGAGGTTGTTTCTTTTTTTAAGTTGCTAATTTTTTTTTTCACTATTAAAATTTGTTTCAAGTTGCAATTCAGTGCTTGGAAACAGTTTTTAAGATCAGCTCAGAAGATACACACCTAGCAGTTTCACAGCCTTTGACAGAAATGTTCACCAATTCCTTCTGTAAGGTATGTTGTCATTGTTTTCTCACTGGTATCTGATGTAGGTATGACTACAATTTTATGTTAATAGATTGTTAATAGTTGAGGAGCCAGGCCTATAACTAATTAACTTCTTCCTCGGTATAAGGTAGATAGTCTATCTATATGAATATAATTTGGGATCTAAAAAATAACTCATTTAATGTGCTTTAGATTTTCATATTAGTAGCTATTCTCATCCTCTCACCTTCTTTTATATTTAATTATATGTATTAGTCAACTTTTATGTTCTTTCCAGTATCTGAGTATTTTTATTTTTATTTTTTTCTAGCATGGCCTTCCAGTGAATCTGAGTATTTATATGTTTCCAACATTTGACTTGACGTTTCCTTAAAACATGGAACAAAAGTTAAAAACAAAAGTTTTAATGTCTAGATAGCAACTGTACAGAAATAGATTCAACTGGAATTGAATCATCATTTCTGAAGCATATTTCATCAAATTTGGCCATTTATAGGGGTCTTTTAAAACAGGAAAGAGCCAGGTGCAGGTAGCATATGCCTGTAGTCCCAGCTGTTCTGGAGGCTGACATGGGAGGATCCTTTGAGCCCAAGGAGTTCAAGGCCAACCTGGGCAACATGGCTAGATCCCATCTCTTTGAAAAAAGGGTGGGGGGAGGTTAAGGGTCAATATGTAAAAACGTAAGACTAAAACCCATGTTTCTCATCCCTGCTCCCAGAGACACGGTCTTTGGTTTTTAGCTCTTTCAGGAAACATAGACCATAAGATTGAAAAATTTTAAGGTTAGTGAGTTAGATCCCCAGGGTGACCTCCCATATGTTTCTTCACTACATTTCAGTGCCTTGTAGACTCCTTTTGTTTTTCTAGCTATGTATTTGACCTTTAGTACATAATGAAGAATTCCGGAGTGAACCTGAAACATGTAATTTATATATCAGGCTGGCATGAACATTGCTGACCACACTTGACTGGGTTCTCTAGGCTATTTCTAGAACATCTTCAGAAGAGGTTCTAAGAGTTGCAGTGAAGATGGTAACTTGGCAGTAAACTAATAATGCAGTTTTACACATTAATTCATCAAAAAGAAGAATTCTAATACTATGACAAGATACATGGAGATTGTGACATTTCTCTCTGTTCCTCATCAGGGAACTCCTTTTTCTTCCCTTTGGGCCTGTGACCTCCTCAGAGAACAGTGTCTCAGTAGCTGGTTTTGGCTATGGTTGAAGCAGAACTTCTTTGCTGTCAGGTACTAGAGGCCTGTGTTGAGACAGCACTTGGATTTTCTCACTTTTTAGCTACTGTCACCGTTGACTTAGAACTGATGAGATCAGAACTTTTTTTCTTTTAGCCTCTCAGGATGCTCCAATTGGTGCTTTTTTTTTTTTTTTTTTTGACAGAGTCTTGCTCTGTTGCCCCAGGTAGAGTAGAGTGGAGTCATCATAGCTCATTGCATCCTCAAACTCCTGGGCTGAAGTGATCCTCCTGCCTCAGCCTCCCAAGTAGCTGGGCGTACAGGTGCACATCACCATTCCCCGCTAATTTTTTCTATTTTTGGTCTCGTTCTTGATCAGGCTGGTTTCGAACTCCTGAGCTCAAGCAATCCTCCTGCCTCAGCCTCCCAGACTGCTAGGATTACAGGTGTGAGCCACCACATCCAGCCTCCAATTGGCTTTTATACTTTGAAGAAAGCTTAGCTTTTATTTTTCTCTTTTGCTGTATCTCTCTGATTACATTTAATTGTAAGAAATTTGTTGCTTACTATTTTAAAAATATAGTTTATTGAAACTGGCTTTCTAGTATATCTACACTAGTATTATTTGTGGTATCATAATTCTTCAGTAGTCCTATTTTACAGC